TCGGATCGCGGACATATATCTCGCGGGAGCCAGATGTTTGGCTGCATACGCCATCTCCAATAAACCGGAATAGGTTCCATATCCAGCCGCGTATCCCGCCATTTGGCGTGGAATCGGTCTGGAAAGTGGAAAGAAGGGATCCTGCCTACGGTTTCCCGACCAGGAGATGATATATAGGCCCGGGCCTGGCTTGGACACGCGGCATGTAAGATTCATTCGCCACGAATCGTCGAAGAAGAGAGAGATGGACACGATGGAATTCGATCGATTTCTCGCGAAAGATCGAGTGGAGCCTGATGGACGATGATGGATGCTCGTGCATGATGTTTAAAAAAAAAAAGAAATGTCCGATTGAAAAGAGGAGGATCAAAGTTTGTCTCAGGATTCTTTCTTTGAATTTGAAATTGATTGGTCCTCGAACGAGAGTTGATTCTTTTTTTATATGTGCAACAAAATTAATTCCGGAATGTTTCTTGCCGGAATTTAGAGGGAGATTGCGATGGCACACGAACGAAGATGTGATCTCTTCCCTCTCGCCTCTATTGTCTACCTTCCCCGAAGATGAAATGCCAATAGAAAAACGCGTCGATCCCTCCCCTTAATCTTGAAACTTTCAATTTCCACCAACGATCCGTACATTACGAGCTCATTGTTCGGTTAACAACGCCATCGATCGATTATTAAACATCATCCTTATCTTTCATCCTCCATTAAACATCGAAACTTTCCTCCGCTCGATCCAGACAATCGAAATGAAACAAGCGAACCAACGATAACCTGACCCGATAATTTACAAAATTCCCTCATTGTTCCTCGTATCGTTACGCGTATTCCGCGGCACAACAGCGAGGGACAACACACAGGCCGTTGCGAACGCCTTGAAATATTATTTCTCGCCGCGAAGAAGTTTGAAACGAGCGAGGTCGCGAGTTAGACTCGGTCCCGAGACAATAATTCCGGAAGGGGGACAAACGTGCTAAAGTTCTTAGGGCATTTACGGCGGCCGTACAACGCCGAAAGCTAAGCTGCGGTCTGCTAAGGTTAACGTAAACTCCTTTCGGTCGGGCCCCAACTATTCTCGCTCGTTCGCGATGCTTAACTGCACGCGGTGCGTCCTTAAGTCGGGTGCGGCGATCCGGCTGGATCGTTATAGGAGGATCCGAAAGTTCGAGAGGTGTGTCGTGCACACGCGATTGGACGCGAAAAGATGCATCGAGAGTTTGTGTTTCCTTTTAAATAAATTTCCATCGATTAATAACTGATTCGTCGGTTCGTTTGGAATGTTGGAAACAGGGAAAATGGGATTAGATTCGGCGTTACTTATTGATAACATTGAAACACGAATGTTGAAGAACCGAATCGAGGTGAGGACTGATAATGTGGAAAACTTTACAGGTGTTTAATAATGTAATTTATATGCGAATAATGAAAGAATATAGAAATGAAACTGTTTATAGTGTTACGGTTGAATTAATTGAATTAGAAATAAGCATCTTCCTTATCAGATTCAATTAATTCTAATTATCAGAATGTTGTTATAGTCTCATAAATTGAATTAAACAAAAGTTGCAAATTGAACTAGAAAAAAAAAAAAAAGATTTCCTAATATGCATATCTTCAAAAATTTGAAGCAAAAAGATTATCTACGCGTTGAAAACTTCCTCGAAAGGAACACGTTCAAGTGAAAAGTGGGGCAAAAAAATATTAGGCTCGAAGATACAATCTCGAACATCATTATCGAAGTAGGAACAACAACTGCTCCGCTCAAATGCGTATCTCTTTCTACCGCACAAAGCGACTTCCGTTCGCCAGATTAGATATCCAACGCTTGGACCACCCTGCGGTCAGGTATTTGAAACTGGCCACGTTTCGATGAAAAAGAAAAAGAAAAAAAGAAAAAAAAAATTTCGAACACGATCGATCACGACGTATGATCGATCGATCGATCGTTCCGCGAACGGATTCCTGTAACGTAATCGTATCGGTACGTTAACCCTGATCCGGTGGAATTGCGCAATAGACGATCCACGGATCGAACAATGCCGTGTTTCGAATGCTCCCACGACGACGACGATGACGCGCGCGCGCGCGTGTATGTGTGTGTGTGTGCGTGTGTATACGCGTGCTTTCGTTTCTGACATCTGCCGATGATACCGATCGACGGACTTTCTTCTTCTTCGAAAGAATCGATCGATATAACGCCGCGAACAATGGCATTACGTCTCTTTATTTCTTATTTTCTTTTTTTCTTTTCTTTCTTCTTTTTTTTTTTCATCGTACGATTTGATCGCTAACGATAAACCGTAATGAAGGAGGAAGTATTGCTTCCCTCGTTACAGATCCGCAGCGTTTTAATTAATCCTTCGCGATAAAGAATTCGCCTGTACGAAAGATGTTATACGTATAAGTTCTTGGCACGTTGAGAAAAAATGTTTTCGAGACGATTGAACATTCTCCTCGATAGAATTATAATAAAACCGAATTTTTAAATATAGTTCTTACTCGAATCAAAGAAATTGAATTATACTATTGATTAGAAGAATCGAAAGCGGATAACAAAATTGGTTCGGGAGGGAAAAGAAAAAAAGAAACACTCACCAGGTTTGATCTGTTGAGGCTTGGCCCTGGTCCACGAGATCTCCACGAGCACGAGCAGGAGGACAGCGAGGATTCCTCCCAGGCTGCCCAGAATCATCCTGTTCTTGCTGCCGGCCGACATCCACCCGCGAAGATAGATTTTTCTAAATGATCACGATACCACGATTGACGTCGGCCTCGACTGTGTGGCCGTGTACACCACGACGAGGACGAGGTAAACGTGGAACTCGAAGCAGAGAACTGTGGCCTCCGTGGAATGGCTACGAGACCAAGCGAGGATCGAGTGAGTGAGGATGGACTGACAGACGTGCGGGCGTACGCACGAGTCAATGAAGTGAGTGGTACTCACCCGTAGGAGCCCTCACCTTACCCAACCCAGACCTCGTCCCCTCGCCTCCTCTCCCTTTTACCTTGGCTCCCTTCTTTCCTCTTCTTCTTCTTCTTCTTCTTCTTCTTCCTCTTCTTCTTCCTCTTCTTCTTCCTCCACTTCGCGATACTCGTTTCCTTTACTCCGGCAGACTGCTTTCTTCCTCGTCCGCTGAACGATTCGCCGTTCCATTTCTTCTTTTCTCATCTCCGCCTCCTTGACCCTCTTCCTTCCTCCATCCGCTCTCTGCTCCATACGCGTATTTTTTTTTCTCCTCTCCCTTTCTTCTCCTCTTCGCGTGCATACTATTTTCCGCGAGATTGGAATGTCAATTTTCTCGTTTCTTGCACGCCTTATACATTCCCTATTTATCTTCTTCGTTCGACTACGTTAGCGCCGAACCACCGGCTTCCTCGCGCCTTCTTCTCCACCTTTTCTTACCGCATTTCATTTTACCCGATCGCTTGGCGTATACTTAAACGCTCGTTCTTCCTCGTCCTTCCTGTCGGTAAGCGTATGATTTTCTCCACGTGGTTCGTAAAGAAGTCGTTTTAGATCGATCTTCTAGTTAAACTATTCACGGTTTTATTCGTAGGATGTGATTGGTTTAAATCTGAGGTCCTGGGAACATAAGGGAAATATGAGTGAGTTTTGGTTAGGTTGAATTTGAATGAAGCAACATTTGAAAAATGAAAGTAATCAAGCACTGTGACAAAGTGGTTTATCGTGACGTTCATCAACGTGTCACATGTATTATCGTTGACTCACGATTATTGGCAAAAGTTGAACTTTCATTGGATTAACGATCCTAACTTCCAATCGTTCAAATTTAAATTTCTAATAAAGCATTTCCTCCTTCTTCTTCTTCTTCTTCTTCTATCTGTAAAACGTATCAATCAACGTATTGTTAAAATTTTTCTTCTAACGAATCTAAATTAATACTTTCTTCTTTAATTATTTTACCATTTCAAATTTATTCAAACACTCGTTTAAAAAACTCGTATAAAAAATTGTATTATTAAGCAAAAATTACCCAGATCTATTCTATCTCTCCGTTCTCCGATTTTGTTCATCGATAAGCAAGCATCGTTGCCGAATTTATTCCTTCTCTCCCGGATATGATGCACTTGCTCACCTCTCGGACCACTACCTTTTGTTCACCTCCCAACTTTTTCTTTTTCTTATCATCCTACGTTCGTTTCCTCCTCGTCCAGCGGACGCTTAAACGCACTCTGCCCTCCTCGGTATGGCCAGCCTCCTCCGCCTCTCACTGCGGCGGTGTCCTCTTCCTGCTTTTCGTTTTTCTTCTCCCCCGCCTCTCGGACCCCCGCCTGTGTCCCTTCTCTCCTTATCTTCAGCCACCTCCGCGTAGGATGCACCTTCCTCTGTCCCTTTGCAAACATACTTCTAGGTGCGAGGATGCGTTCTCTGTGATGTAAGAAGTCGGTTTATGAAAAAGCTTTAAAATTTGCTGCATGGATTTTGGATTTATTGCCACGTTTATAAATTGGATATGTTAAAAAATATACTCACTATAATTTATATTAACACGTTTTTATTCGTGTACTTTTTTTTATTTATGAATTATTATGAAAATTCTTTTCGCAATTATTACAATTTTCTTCGATTTAATATTATATAAGTAATCACTTCGTTTTTAATCTCTTTGAAATCAATGATGGTATAAAAATATAGAACTCTTTGATTATTAATTTTCTATTTCTCAAATTATGGGAATGTTTTAATTTTTTTAATGTAAAAGAAAAATTGTTCATAATATATATATATATAGATAATATTTATATTATTAAATTTAGCACGGTAATATTGCCACTGACATTTTAAATTAAGGAAACAATTAAAATCTTCGTTATTTTATTGCAATCTTTATGTTGCGCAACTCAAATTCAATTCATCGTTCGAAGATATGAATAGACGTTTGTTGTCTTCTTCCCACAGGTTCTTACTTTTCTTTCCTTTCCTTTTCTTTTTCACTCTCTTTCTCTCTCTCTCTCTCAGCCTGTCTCTATGGTTCTTTTTTAATTCATTCCTCTCGACCACGACTATCGGTGTACTGGGAAACATCTGAAAAGATGAGTTTCGCCCGGTGTCCCCATCCTATGCAAACATCTCGGTTATTTGTACGGTATTTCCGCATCTCAATAGAGAACGTTATTCCGTTTCAAAATCATTTTACTTGGTAATACGATTTTCTGTTTACTCTGTTTTCTTTCGAGTATGAAATTGCGCATGAAATTTCACGTTCTTTCCAAATAGATCTCGAAATTTTCCTTTTTCATTGTATCTTCCTCCTCCAATAATATTCCAATAATATTCCAAATGATTCAACGATCAACTCGTATCCACCGTTTTAATTAATTTTTAAAATATAATATGTTTTAACGCGAAAAAAATCTCGGCTTCTCATGATACATGACACGGTACACGGTGCTCAGGAAATATTATCATTATTAAAGCGTAACTGGAACAACCTCTGGCCAGGTTTTAAGTCATGTAGCAAAATGTATAATCGAGGAGCGAGAGAACACAAACGGGCAACTGGTGGTTGATGAAAAATGAAAATATCCTTGATCTATGCAGCGTCTTCTATAAAATCTAGTCCTCTGCTGGAAATCTGAGCACTTCTGCTTCTTTCCCACGTAACTGCTTTCGTTAACAATTTTGAGAATTCGCTCCTTTCGCACGTTAGATTCGATCCATACAATCTAGATATTCAATGATAAATCGTAAAATTAATCTTTTATTTTTCTTTCATTATGTATGTCTATTCTATTTTACACTTTTCTATATATAAATGTTAAAGAAAGGATAAATATAATTTTACTAATAAATATTCATAAGTAAACCAGATTATATAATGGCATAAATTATGATTAAATATATTTGGCTATCAATATTATTACATATATAATAATTAATTTATTACTATTTGCTTTTGAAGCATTTCATCCTTACTTATTCAATCGCTTTAATAAATTTTACTATAATTCTCAAATCAATTAGAATGAAAATAAGATATTTTAAATTCTATGAAATTTAAATGAAACAAACTACCTTCTCTTTGATATTAAAATATTAGGATTATATTGTAAAAAGCTACAAGTTAAACACTGCCATTAGAGTTCATTCGCACCTTTTAATTTATAATCTGATTTATTTTCAAGTAAATAAAAAACGTTAATAAAATTTTACTTCTTCATGATTGTAAAATTGTTTTAGCATTTATACAAATTTAGAAATATAGAATAAAGTAAAAATAAAATAGAAATCAAATAAAAAGATATTTACCATTATTATCAAAATTATCCAATTATCACGTTTAAGAGAGTTCAAAAATCTTAATACTATCTACACACGGTCAATATCGTTACTCCTCAAAAATTTGTATCTTTATTCTGTATCCCTTATCTCTTCTATCTATAGGACTTCCATAACAGAGATAAGGCAGTTCCTTCGTTTGTACCACCGAAACGAAAGCCAATGAGATTCAACTTTGATCAGATCCTCTGCCAAGTGATCTCTATTACGCAATCTCTGCTATCGGACATCGTGCTAACCCCATGAAATTTTCTGACGATGCAGCCACGGTGTGCTCTATCGCCCAAGGCTCCGACAGGAATCGCGTGGAACCTGCCCAGGATCAAAGCTGATTCGTCCTATGCCTTCTGTCGACGATAAACCGAAACAGGAGGTTAACGACGTCTTCTGAAGAGATATTGTGGTCCAAGAACTTTACGATCCGATGGCTAATCTCTGATTAAAGGGAAAGAAACTTTAATTATAATGAAGAAGGAATTAAATGCTTGAAATTTGAAATTGAATAATTAAATTAAACATGTAAACTTTCAATATTTTTTCACATGATTCCTTTTAAAAATATTCTATAATTATATGTATATTTTATATTATACATATTTCAAGAAATAAAAATAATAAAGAATTATCATTTACATCCATATTCCATTATATCCATATTCCTTAACAATTTCTATCTATTATTATTTAACAATAATTAGAATTTAATAATAATTCTCAATGAAATGATCAAAATTTTTCAAACATCTCCAATTTTTAACAATTTCATTCAACATCCCTCTCTATTATAATGGCATAAAATTATTATAGTCGTTGTAATATTTCAATACCAACGTTATTGACTTCACTTTAACAAATGGAATCAAACACTCTCCGGATGGCAGGAGCAAACCGATCGGGTCTGTAAATAATTCAATCTCTGAGTACTACAATCTACAGCACTGTTCTTCGAAATGGCGTGAAAAACTTGCTCACGCCTTGTTCCTTGTTCATCGAAAAAAAAACAAAAAAAGAAGAAGAAGAATTGCGGTTGAATCGAACATAGGGACGCACTTTCGATTAAGCTTTGATACTAGCGTGGGTTTCGTGTCGATCCGGAAAAAGTGTGTAACAGGGCCAACAAGAAAATCGAATCAATGATTACTTGTGCACACGGGACACGAGCAAAAGCGTGCCACGAACAAGTCTATTTATGTTTCTTCGAATTTGGGCAGCTAGAGACGCGCGCGTTACTATTGAGACTCGGCGACGAGCGAAGAAATGCGTGCGAGACTCGATCAAACAGCATCGAAGAACAATCCTTTCATTTTTATTCACCATCGAGCAGATGGAACTCTATGCTCTCCTCTACGCGAAAAGCTCAAAGAGAGGAAGCGACTTTCACGAATACGCGTGGATTTTATTGGAGCAATTCTCTCGAAGAAGACAGTCCTTCGAATATTGATGCAAAGGAAATTCGATTGTGATGGGGTTCTTCTAGGAAATTCCTACATTTCTCTTTCCCTTTTTTGTTTGGATCGTTGCGTAATTTTGAAACCTGAAAATTGAACGATTTTACTTTTCGTTTCTACGTGTAATTTCTTTGAAATGTATACGTTTTTTACTTACTACCACTCTTGAATTATCCTTTTCCATATTTTATCTTTCATTTGTATTTAGTATCTCTTAAGAAAGGAAAAGAAATAATAATAAAGAAGTAATAATTCTCAATGACATGTATAAGTAACTGCAATCTTCATTTTGCTTGCTTTTTTCTTTCCACCTCTTTCATTCTCTTTTCTGTCCACCCATTGTGCGGCCGTGTGTCGAATTTTGCATTTACGAAACTACAAAAAGGTATTCTGACTGACTCCGCTCAATTTGCGAATACCATTCCCTTTGAAGTTTCTCTTTCCGTAGGACAATTCCATTGAAAATCGCTGTCTGTTGGTGAAAAGCTCGTGAAATGTCAAAAGTGCAGAACCAAAAGCACGTGGCGTTACTCGAAATTTCAGTTCGTCAAAAGTGAATACGTTTTATTCTCTTTCATTTTC